GCGAAATGGTTAACAGAACAGGGTTATGGGGCGGTAACAAAAACTATATATATAACATTATGTTATATTAACAGCTACAAAGGACAGAAAATTGTGCAGAACTATTCATCTTCAAGGGATATAATGTCTATGAATATTCGGGATGATATCATTATCTGTTATCTCATGATCATTAGATTCCAGTTCACACCAGACTTCTGAAATATACAATTCTAAAACTCAGAGAAATTACATATTATATTGTTGTGAAAATCAGGTCTGATTTTAGAATAAACCGATTTTGTTCTCATATATTATTATACTACTTCTTTCACAAGAGTTCAAACTTGGTCATAGTGCTTCTCTAACTGCTACCAGTATTAACAGACCCTAGGGTGAAGCACCCACTTGTGACCGCATAGTACGTCCCTGGTTTATGGAACTCCGCAGTGGGGATACAAGTCTTGAAAACCAATGTAGTAGATGGTGTCTACCTGCAACTGACAATCATTATTTGACAACACTAGTCCTAAAGAGGCCATGTCAATGTGTCAGAGAAACGTCCCAGATGATAGGTGTCACCCTTTCAAAAATCTCTCATCATATCAAGAATATTGGTAAGGTGAACAATCTATATAGGAAGGCACGATGGAGTGATGGATGGTGGCTCAGATTGAGGAATCGGTAGAGCCGAGTTCGAATTCAAGACGAATCATTTACCTTCACTAACGTGCTAATATCCTTGGGAAAGATATGAATCCTCCTCTTCTCCTCCCATCTATGGGTAAATAGCAGGACAAACCGGGATCTATAGCCTTGGATGGCAACTGGTCTACTGCAGAAAGAAATGACAACCTACCTCGTCAGTCATGTATCAAAAGATACATGCTCGCCTAAGCATGTATCATGCCTGTCACACAACTGACTGCCTGATCTATCTATAGCAGGACAGACCGGGTTCCATACACACTCTCTCTCTCTCTCTCTCTCTCTCTATCTATCTATCTATATATATATATATATATATATATATATATATATATATATTGTGTATATGATCAGAAACAAAAATATCCATAGCAATGATAAGCTTGAAGCAGTTATATATAAAACAGTCACAACTGCTCCTTACATTATAGTGACGAAACATCCAGAAGAAATGTATTTATGAACACAAAAAGGGTCTTATACATAATAATTTATCAAATGAATTACTTATACATACAAATAATAATCCACATCTTCGATTTTAAAGAATGAAGCATTTATAAATAGAGTAATTAAAGTACTTAGAGGGAAAATTCAATTGAATCTTGTTAAACTATTAATCTGTCACAATGTTTTACAAATATCTCCGTCCCTGAAAGAATTATTCTTTTCACAAGCCAACATACATGTCTATGAAAATGTTAAGAATTGAAAGAAAACAGTTACATGCAATACCTTCTATTATGTAAAATATGTAATATATAAATTGGTCTCAAACTAAAATGATATTGATAATAATTACATTATGAAAACTTTAAATAAATCAACCTCAACGTCATTTACACACTTTGGTTTATTAGACATTCAATTACGTCAGTTAGCCTCTTCCATAATTTGCCCATAATTTTCAGTTATATTGATGAATATTCATAAACGTTTCCAAAATGTAAAGATTTTGAAAAACTAGGGATATTTTAAGTTTCATTTAGGCGACGGTAGGCTGAAATGGTCAAAGGCTTACAGTGAAGCAAAAGCGTTAGAGCTTTGAAATCTTGCATGCATTAATTTCAACTCTTCTTATTCCTAAAAACTTTGTGTCAGTCCAGATAAACTGATATGACTGTTCAAGGAATACTTCAATTAACTTTTAGCGACTTCTCTTGAAAATGGACAAAATTTGGTATCGTGGTGTTAAGAAAGACCTGTTGAAAAAAGTATAGACACCAGGGATATTCATGTTAACATTTTGGCTACATTAGGGTAGAACACTCCAGCTTTATCAAGTGGGGAGCTTAATTTTTTTTTTTTGGGGGGGGGGTCGAAAATATCTCAACGTCTGGACGTTTTACAACAACCCCCACTGAATAAAAGATTGATCATGTTTGCCACTAGATGAGGGTTGACAGACAATTTACTATATATCAAATAGCTAATGCTTTTAACAAATCCCTTCAGTGAGTTGAGAATATTCTGCACTATGAGTTGACATAACGAAGGTTTCTGCTCAGTGGGTGCCACGTCTTCTGACCGCTGATCAAAAGCACACCAGGCTGACCCCATGACGGGAAAATTTGTTTGTAGCAGATCAAGCTGGTTTCATTGAACGATACCTAAACTTGAATGAATCATGTGATCATCATATTGATCCAGAGAAAAACAGACTATCCCTGCAGTGGAAACAATCCCCTCCTTATCTGTTAAAAAAAAATAAAAACAAAAAAAAAACGCCAAGGTCGTTTCATCTTCAGGTAAGTTGATGACCTCTTGCATTTGTTGATATTTAAATGACCACACCATCAACTGAGAATACGACGCCAAATTCCTGATGCCGTGACGAAAGGCTATCTATACCAAATGTTCCAGTAAACTTGTTTTATCAACACAGTGCTCCAGCACACAACTCATTGGTTTCAATAACTTTTGTGCGTTAATATGGCTTTAAAAACATCGTTATATCTTCAAATTTTAAATTTAAGTACGTTCAAAAACATAACAATATTATGCCTCCAATTTATTTCCATATATAAATACAAGCTACAAAATTCAATGGACGAAACGCGTTAGAAATGTTTGCCTTTTTTCTTTTATTTATATTGACCTTGCATATATATTTTACATATATCTAAATTGGTACACCATATTCGCAATTTAGGAAATTTTATTACAAATACATCTCTACATTTTCATGAAAATAAGAAACAAACTAAAAATTCTTCATGCTATATGTATTAAAAAACTAAAACCAAGTCATAATAAAAAGAATTATGTATACTGCCCAAATGTTTATAGTAGATGGTATAAATATGTAGCTTTTAACTAATAGTTTCAAATAGTTTTTGTTTTATTTAAATAAAAATATTAAGGCTTTACAATAACTTATTTACCTCCCTTGACGTTTGCTCCTGTGCCTACATGATAAATTTAAAAAAAATGTTCAGAATATAACCTTAGTTTTTGTCACAAAAATGAAAAATGAAAACAATGAACACAACTATTTTTGTCTTAGAAAATACAAGACCCTGATGAAGGCATGTTGCTGATGACGATAGTACTCGGAATAAAATATATATAATTAATCATGGTAATTTTATTTCTTATTTTAAAAAGGATACTTAGATACTTGTCCGTGATTACGTGAGGATCCTATTTAGATGCGTAAACAAAACTTGTCTAAATTATTTAATGAGTCATGCCTTTGTAAACAGAGGGAATGCTTGCTGGGTCTGAATATTATTGGACTCTAGTTTCTTGAAATTCATATTTTTTTTCACCCATTTAATTACATTTGTTAATTAAAATTAATTTACACGCTTTTAAATTCCCAGAATAAATAAACTTGATAAGTCCTGGAACGAAACCGGTTGTTTTTATTTTAGCTCTTGCTTTTAAAAATGCCTTATAAATATTGTCTTTTTCCTATCTATTATTGAATTCTGTACCACGAAAAATATATATATATATATATATATATATATATATATATATATATATATATATGGTCGTCTGAAGATTGCGAAAACATTGTAACCTCTCAAACCTTCTTTTTGTTAAGTGTTGACATTGTGAAACAATTTTGCTCTCTCTTCGTAGTCCCGACGTTGAGCACATTTTAATCTACTGCGCTGGTAGGAGTTTGCCTTTTTAGTCTTTGGGATCTGTTCTTACCTAATGTATTAGGTCGTCTGGCAAACTCTCTATTGTTCATACCATATTGTTTTTTTAGTATATATATATGCGTATATATATATATATATATATATATATATATATATATATATATAGAGAGAGAGAGAGAGAGAGAGAGAGTGCCATTTTGTACTCTAATAACATAGCCAATTCTCACTCAAATTAAGTTGACTGTTCTGAGTTTTCGCATTAAAAGTCTATCAAGAAGATGGATCGGGGATGACAGAGATAATGACAGTTCTGTTGTAATGGCCATTAAAAACACTAAAGTAATTGAGTTTCTTTTTTCCAGAAATGAAAACATTTGTTGTAAGAATCACTGCAAAACGCTTTGAGTTATTCAGCTAGAAAAAGAAAAGTCAAAATCGTTTTGTGTCAGGTCCGCTGTCTTCCTAAATGAGAAATGGCGAGAGGAAAAAGATCATTCAGGCCTTCAGTAATGATACCAACATTCATACTCTGGCTTCCATCTTCAAAGTCCATTCATGAACCAGCAACAGAACGCTGAATAAGTTTAAAAAAGAGGGATCAGTAGAGAGTAAGACTGGATGAAGAGGTCACAACAGGAAGACTGATCATCATTTCAACTTAGAGCAAAAGAGATCAATTAAAAAAAGATACAACTCAACCCAGAAGAGATTTAGCTCGTGAGATAGAAGTTTCAGCTATGACATTTCAAGGAGCAGTGAAAAAAACTTGAAATTAAAATCGTGCGTGAAACCGGTGAGGCACCTTGTTACGCCAGAAAAGAAAATTAAAGAGGACATGAATCATCTTGAACATTTTGGAAAATGATCCAAGAATAATATAATGTATATTTAAAATTATTTTCAATCCTTCATGAGATTCTGATCTTTCTATGATTAATTAATGATGAACATGTCATTTTCGTTTATGATCGATTTCATCACGATTCTTCTGTTAATCTTGGTGAGTAATTATACACTCTTATTATAGAGTCCAATACTGTTATAAAAAGCTCAGAGAATTCCAGTAATATATTTTTAATCATTTCTAAGTTACAACGATTCTAATCTTAATCTAAGAATTGGACAATTTTGCTTTTACATGATTTGAACAATTTTGCTGTTAAACCCAGTACAAAAATCATAACTAACGAATCTCCTCTATAAAACAACAATGTCTGTAAAAAAATAATGAATATAAAGATATTGAGAGAGAAAGAGAAAGGAATCAGAGAGAGAGAGGGAATAGGCGAGGGAAAACCCAGAGAGAAGAGAGTGACTGTGAGAGAGAAAGAGGAAAAGGAGATTAAGGAAGAGGGAGAGAAAGTAGAAAAAAGTGAGAGAAGGCCAGGTTGAAAAGGTGAACAATGGAAAGACAGAGAACGTGCGAGAGAAAGAGACGGGAAGCGAGAGAGGAAACTAGAGAGAGAAAAAAAGCATGAGATGAACGGTAAAGTTAGAGAAAGTGCGTGTAGACCGGGAAGGAGGGGGAATGAAGGCGAGAGAGAAAAGGTGGCGAGAGAAGTTGAGAGCAAAAATGGAAAGAAATAGTGAGAGTGGAAATAACAGATAGAATTTGAACTCAATAATACATTGAGCTAAAGACACCTTGCTCGATTATTTCGATCTAAGCAAAAACATTGCCCAAGGTAAAAATGTTATTTCGATGTAATCGTTCGTCGTTAGCTGGCGGCCTGCTCGACGCTAAAACGTGAGCCTTCCATATCAGACCCGATCAAATATAGCCTCGACTACGACAGACAGTCACGATAACTGAGTTTGCCGCCTATTAAAAGTAGGCAAAGCCCCTTGCCGCCATGTTTTTTTGTTTCTTTCTTTGTCACTCCTCAATATTATCATATTAACCATTTCCTTTTCTTCTTCTCTTTTCCATTTTTAATTTCAATTTATTCTATTTCATGTTTCTTATTCGACATTCTTTTCTTTCTTTAATTTCTTATCGTTCGTCAAGTCCGGTTGAACTATAATTCTCTTTTTCCCTGTCTTCTTCTACTTAATCAATTACCCCAAGCAAGGCGATAATGCTACTAAGACGCATTTTGGCTACTAGAAGTGAAGGACAATGAAAAATTTTAGAAGCAGAAACCAAATTTTAAACAGGAAACAAGAGATAATTATCTACACATGCTCAAAAGACCGGGTTGTGGCTCTAAGTAACATTTTATTCTCTCCTATCAAATCTTTTTTTTTCTTTGTTCAGCCATTCATACACTTGTACTTGCTTGCGCACTGAGTCACCATGATTGTTTTGCATTCGTTATGTTCAGAGAGTTTAAAATTCTCCAGGTCCTTTTGACCATATTCCCCTGAAATTTAAAATGATTTTAGATATCGTTTTACTTTTAACGACTATTTACTTGAAAGCTTCCTCATTAGGCTATATCCTGCCTATGATATTCTCAGTATCCAAGGAACCACGTCGCTTTGCATAAGTTCTTCATGTCTACGCATAAGCTCTCGTATTCCCTAACATATAAGAGATTACCATATTTCACAGCCGTTCATAATTATTCTTTTTTTTAAATTATTATTATAGCGAACAGGAAGATATTATGACAGATACAAACTTGGCACAATAATGAAACCTGTTCCGAGAGAGAGTTCAGAACCGATTCTATTTCTTTACTTTCATCTACCCTTCTTTTATTTTTTCCCATTTTCTCACTGAAACCAAATAATGTCTTTTCTCGCCTTTTCACGTGATCAAAACGCCGAATAGTGCATTATTTATGAGGTTTTGGCAGGGTGTAATGGCCGTGCAAACTAATGAAGAGCAGGAATAATTCCAGCTAAGAAAACATATTACGACCTCCTCTCTCTTGTGGCTAGAATAGTAATATTGTAAGCTAACATGACATCAACAATATAAGCTATGTAGATGATACATGTTAATGCAGGCTCGATTTTATTATGAATCTATGCACACACACACAAATCCACAGGAATGTAATCTCTGCATAGAACTATAAATAAAAGATAGATATGATAAGATGAATCTAAAACGGTGTATTCCGCTTATAAATGTAAGCATATAAAGCCCCAGAAAATAACTGACATCTCTTGAGTTGCTTTAACTCTGCAACAGCCGAATTAGATTTTTTAATAAAAAAAGAAGTATTCGTTCTATATTTAAACCGTGGCTGCACAGTCATCAATTTCTAGTCTAGATCGAGTTTGTAGATAAAACTCTGCGTAAATAGTTAGAAACCCTCTCACATCTATATATACAAAACTACTCGTAGAAAATAAGGAACAGCAAGGCATGGAGAAAACAAAAACAAAACGAATATTATTTATTATCTGGTGGTGAGACAACGAGAGAAAGTAAGATCGAATAAAATTGAGAGTTGCGATCAAATTTAGATCTAATATGGAATCCAACAGAACGATAAGATAAATAATGAGTACATTTTATACAGCCTTTTGCGCACGGTGGAGTAATGGATAGCGGCTCGGATTTAGGAATCGGAGAGTTGAGTTCGAATTCCAGTCGAATCCATTACATTCACTAAATTGCTATCACCCTTGAGAAAGGTATGAATGCTCTTCTTCCACACCCTGCTATAGGTAAATAGCAGAACAGGCCGGATTCTATAGCCTTGGATGCAACTGGTCTACCGCAGAAAGAAATGGCAACCTACTGAATCTGCTTCATCAGTCATGTATCGAAAGATACCTGATCGCCTAAGAGTGTATCATGTATGACACATAATTGTGCAATGAGTGACCATATAACTTATTTGAAGAAGAAAAAAATGTCTGGAGTTTTTCACCTCACATTTTGTTTGTGTGTTAAGAGACAAATGTTACTATTTTATCCTGAAAAGGGAAAGGAGCCGAAATTTTCGTTGACCCACGTGTTGACTTCCTGTACAATAGTGAGGGTGTCACGTTTTTGTGTGTATTTTGCATCCAGGATAAAATACGTAACATAAGTCGTTATGCTGCGGTATTTTGTGATGTTCAGGTAAAAATAAGTTAGCATTTTTTTTTGTTAGAATGACACTTTTGATATGAGCGTATGTACGTTGTATAGTAATTATTTATGAGATCCTCGAAAATTTGTTCCGCAAAAAATATTGCCGGACTCATGTGAGTGCGGGTAAATATATAAAAAGAAACAAACAAAATAATGAATTTAAAACAAACGAAAATTATATGCATGTATTAACAAAAGTAATTGTATGTATACACAATTGAAATAAAAGGAAAATACATTAAAAGTCGACATAAGAATGTGCTTGTTGTGTATGCGTGTGCGCGCTTGTGTGTGTGCGTGTGATACACGTGTATGTGTGTATGTGCGAGAGTTTGGTCAACTGAGATTAAAGGAAGCGAATGCGCTCCAGCAGCAGTGATCTTTATCCAAGATAGAATACATCTGAAAACAAGATGAACAAGAAAAAGGACAACGTTCTTTCCTTTTTTATAGACTTAAAGAGCACATTTGGAAGGGCGTTATTGGCAAAGCCAAGTGGGCTATCTTACGAGTTCAAAAGTAGACTGCGCAACCTTGTTTTCCGCCCTTCAGCCAATCTGCTCAAGACGAAACGGTTGCCAGCGTCTCGCTACACTATCGCTTTTTCCATGGCAGATCTTCGGGCAACTTATGTTCATTGGTTCCAAAGACCATGTTTTCACGAGGACACACCAAACCACAAACACTGAATCAAATTATCTTTATTTTCTTCGAATTACATTAGCAAGGAGAAAGCTCCACTCAAACATCTTCCAGCCAGAATTGGTGCAACATGAAATGATCTCCCAAGATGTTGCTTCCCTGGTTACAATTAACCGCATCATGCTGGGAATCACATATTACCTATGTTATATATCTTTCAAATTTATTCCCTTTAAATTTCATCGGTAATGGAGAAGTTCCACTCAGTCAGCTTCCAGCCAGAATTGTTGCAACATGGAAGGATCTCCCAAGAGGATGCTTCTCTGGTCACAATTGTCTTAACAGCTTCATGTTGAGCTTCACATGTTATCTATCCTATTTATCCTTCATATTTATTTCCTTTTTTGTATATCATTTAAAGTCAAAATATATTTTCAGTTTGCAAGAATTTATGGAGGGAGATAACAATTTAGTGATATAAGTCCTTACTAATTAAACGCTGTTGGTCATAGTTGGGAGAGAGAACTGGATTTATAAGTGAATATAACAGGTATTTGAAATCGGCTCTCCCGTTAAAATTTCCGAGCTTTTATCCCTTACACCACCCGCAAATCACAAGCGGTCACCCATCTACGTACTGACCAGGTTCGACGTTGCTTAACTTCGCTGATTTTACGGGAAACGGTGTTTCAACGTGATGTGTCCGCAAAATCTTTGATAAAATAATTATGTATGAACTAACTAAGCGATAAAAATAAGCTTGCGCATGCGTGATTAAATGACTATGTCTGTGTATATGATTGCAAAAGCTGGTTTTCTTTGTTCAAATACGAAACTCAATAACGTTTCGCAGTTGGTCAGTTCTTATTTTAATGGGCTCAGTAATGACAAAAATATCGATGTGAACCAAAAAGAATTATTCATAACAAAAAAAATATATATATATATATATATATATATATATATATATATATATATATAATATCGAAGTCGAAAATTAAATCAATTATTGTTTATGCTTCTAATGTAATGATCGAACTTTGAGTTTAGTTTATTTAATTATCGAAAACATGGACGACCGTCCTGATAAATTTCGGCAACGAACGTGGCGCCATCTCGAATTAGTTAGCTCGGAAATTTCATTATTACAAAAAAAAGTGTGCAAAATATAAAAACAAGGTAATAGAACTGATTCAGACTCAATGAAAATATATTAAAATTCTGATGGAAAAAGGATGTAAGATTGTTTATAGAATTTAGAGTGGTTCTCTTCTAGTTTGTCTAGGTTCGCCATTAAAAGCAAATCGCTTCACGGCGTATAGAAAAAATAATCGATACGATGTATAATCGTATTAGAAAGAGTTGTGTAACAACGGCACCAGAAAAAAAAATCAAATTATTTCCCATAGCAAAACAGTTTCTTGCCTTTTAATATATAGATTTTTTTTTCTGGAACAAATAGGTATAGATATAAATGGAAAATAGAAAAAGTTCTCGACTTGAAAAAAAAATACGCGCCTAAATGTAAATATCTTATATTTGGTTAGATTTTGAACGAGACAAGAAATTTTCAGCACCCCTACATGCACATTCACGCGTATATATGGCTTTTGTAATTATATACAATAGTAGGTAAGGAATACCATTATTTACATTATTCGGACTATTGTACTTATTTTGTCACCATATTTATTACAACGTTTCGGCCGTTCTACGCTCCGGCTGGAATATCTTTATTTCGCTCACTGGGTAGACTGTTCTAGTTCCACGTGCCATGTTTAATGGATGTTAGTTATCTCCTGTTAATTGCTCTCTTAACAGGGTATTGAACTCACACTCTTTGGGTCCTGTCACTGGATCTAACTAACGCTTTTAACCACTGTGCCATGTGTCCTTGAGGATAGCTGTGTATGAATTTCTGGGTATTATAAAACTACAGTCTTCAGCAACCATTTTTACCAGTGCTCATATTGCAATTTTTTGCTTTTTTCATTGCATGTTTTACCAGAGCTCATATTGCAATTTCTGTTGTTATTATTAATTTATTATTACTGGTCCACATATTGTATTCGTTTCTATGCTTGATCGTCTCAGGAGATTTTTGTGGCCTAGCATCGTCTGAAAAATGTAGTGTACATAATACCTCATCTCAGAAACGTCAGAGAACTCTCGGCGATATCAACAAAAAAAAATTGAATATAGCTGCACATTTCAACGAACAAGACAATAGTACTGATACGTTATAGACGACCTTTACATAACAGAACCGTTGCTGCCTGTTGACTTTTGCGTCCGCCAATTGAAGCCTGGAAGTGTCATCACTATCATTTTTATGTCAAAATTGTGGACAGTCTCGGTATTATGGGCAGCCAATGTCTTTTGTGTTTTGTTTTATAAAATGTCTCATCTGTCTTCATATAATCTTTTATTAAAATTCTTGAGGTTTCTCCAATATTTTCTTTATGGCAATCCATATAAGTGATAGAATAAATTACTCCTTCATACGTTGGATTGTTGATTTGTTTTGTATTAATATAGTCTTTTATTGTTTTAGATGCAGTTACGACAAATTTTATGTTGAGTTTAGATGAATAATTTTCGATGGTTTTTGTGATAGAGTTTGTGTATGGAATATATATTTTTTGCTGGCTTTTTCAGAATACCTAGAAAAAATATATTTTCAAAAAATATTCTTTCAAAGATTTTACAAACTACCAGCATCTCTTGTTTCGTGCTCATGTGTAGACGTTGAAAAATCAATAAAACCAACTCTGATGAAGTTCTAACACCTGCAACGTATCACAATCTTTTTTCCAATTTTCATGTATATATATATATATATACGTTTTCAGAATATATATATATATATATATATATATATATATATTAAAAAAGAGAGAAACGTCAAAAGATTTGTGTTATAATATCGATTTGTTTTAGTGTATATTCTATATTTTATTCTTCATATTCATTCTTTATATGAGGAATAAATTATAAAATAAAATATATGCACTAAAACAAAACCACATTATAACCAATTTTCTATTTTTAAAAATAAATATTTTTCTAACGTCGGAACAATTATAACCTTTTCCCCATATATATATATATATATATATATATATATATATATATATATATATAGTGAAAAAGAAAGAACAGTAAGATATATAATCCGGTGTTCTTATTGATATTTTTATTTTTACAAAACAGGGCTCAATGAAAATTTAGAGCGCATAAATATTATAAAATAACTGATTTAAAATATGTTTTGTTTGCTACACAGGAATTACCATGTTTAAAAAAAAACTAATAATTTCAAATTCAATTATATAATTAAATTAAAAGGACTAGTTCTCTTTCATTTTCAAGTAAATTTTATGACACAGAACTAGTGATTTTAATTTATGTTTTTGAAACATGGTAATTCCTGTGTTGCGATGAAACCATATTTTTAAACCAGTTAATTTATAATATATAACTATATATATATATAGGGAAAAGTTATAATATATATATATATATGAAGGGAGTTTCATTTTAAAATTGATAATTTAAATTTAAATATACCATTCTTTAACTATTAATAGTAATAATAATATTAACGAAATTCCTTTAATAATGAGGCACTTCAGAAGTCACCTAAAGTTAAACTTTAACTATAGAATTAAACTAAACTCTAAATAAATTTCAAATATTAAAATATAGGTAATAATTGAGAAATGTATGTATATATAATCTATGTATGAAGATGGATGAACATTTGTGCATATTGTTACACGTGTGTCTATGTGTGTGTTTGCGCATGTTAATAAACGTATGTATGTATATATGGATTTGCATGAATATGTTTGTGAGATACATATAAGAAGAAAACAAAATCTTTAATATTACCCACAAATATTATTAAATAATGAAAGCTAAACCTTAATTAAGTTTACCCATATAATAATACAGAAAAATTGCATTCATAAATTAGATTAAAAGTAAAAAAAATATAGATTTTATTGTTACCGTAATTTTCTTACTATATTATGGAAATACAATTGGTCGGGTAAATAAACTATTATAATTTTAAATATTTCTTTAATATGTTCTCAATAAATATGCTAATAATAATAGTAGTTAACTTATATTAAGTCCCTAGACTATTTACTTAAAAAACTAAATGTTTAAATTGATAACATTCATCATTTTTTAGACATCTAAATTTCTATCAAGCTTTGAAATCTATCTTTTACATAATTTTGTTAAAACAAAACTACAGCCTCTTTCGATTCACTTCCCTCTCCCCCTATCTCTTTGCCGTAACACTCATTTGGATATATCTGTATTACTGTCGTCTGTCTCTTCTCTTTTCCATTTTTCCTTTTCTTTTCTCCCCTCGCATTCCTATATATCATTTCCGTTAAGTTAACCATCTAAATAGGTCAAGGTTCAATCACTCCTCCTACCCCAATATAAAGCATGCTTAAGAGAGATATTAAATTAACCCCTCCCTATATATATTATAGAGCAAAAATCCAAAATTATCTCATGTAAATATAGTCTATTTCAAACTGATACAACCGTAAGCCAGTCTCATTCAGCCTTAAACCGTATATATATATATATATATATATATATATATATATATATATATATATATATATATATATATATATATATTGCAAGTAATAGATACAAATTATTTCCTAAAGGCATAATGAAAAATAAAAAATAAGAGATGATAACACTTACAGAACAGACCAACCGGTTTCGTTCCTAAGCTCATCAGGTTCGACTGGGAACAATTTAACAATTATTGCAATATATATTGACTCACACAAACACTCTACATACAATTGAAACATTAAAAAATGAAATGATTAATGGTATGAGGGAGAAAAATATATATATTTCAAACCGCGCGAATATGCACAGCACAAAGGACAAAAAAAATCAAAAGTAAAATTTTTTTTTTAAAAAAATATGGAGTGTGAGGGGAATGTATGATAAACACTAGAGTCTAATAACGTGAAGCCCAAGGAGACAGTCTCTTTGCTTGCAAAGAGACGGCTCCCTGGACCGAATATACAGAGACTCAAGTGCCTTCAAATGAAATGGAGAGTGCAAACTGGACAGTACAGTAAACCAATTCGGACTGAAGTTCTTCGCACAATCCCTGCAATTTATTAAATGTTCAGTGATCGCTGACCCGGAAGTATTAACCAGCTGACTCTTACGAGCATCCGGATTAAGAACTCGCAATGGGACATGCTGCCTGATCCTACAATCTAAACGTTGGGAAGTCCTTCCTATGTAGTTGCTACCGCAACCACATTTAAAAGAATAAATCACGGAAGAAACATGATGGGGAGGAAGCGGATCCTTACGGATAGAGGAAAAGGCAGAACGAGTCACAAAATGAATTCTTAGTTGAGCAGAAAATAGCAGTGATGGGCAGCAGACAAGACCCGCCTAGCCACAAGCTCGCCCAAGGAACCAATAAAAGGAAGCCGCAAGTAAATTGGACATTTCTGAACTAAGTATTGTTTTTCCTTTCGAAAATTAATAATTTTATCACGCATGACACTGTCAAGAGTATCACTAAGATATCCATTTTTTTAATAGAGTGCAGCGGATAAAATCCAATTCTTCATCTAAATATTGTTCCCTGCAAATCATCAAGGCCCTATGAGTTAAGGTCTTGATGACATTGTGTTTAT